TTAATTAAAGGGGCAGAAAAAATGTTCTTTGTTCTTTGTTTTCTAGTATTTTAAACCATAGGTGATAGCTCAACAAAATTGGAGGTCATCAGATTGTCTTCCCCAGAGACAAGGTTGACCAAAACCACCAACTACAGTTAAACAACAGTAGCCCAAGGCCACAAAGGTGACACTGGTCACCTAGACCTGAGCCCAACCTCTGAAAACCTCCCTTTAAAAAGTCCTGTATTTCTGCTTAAAGGTGGTCTTTCAAGATGCTAGTCTGATGCTCTCCTCATTTGCTGGCAAATTAATAAGTGTCTCTTATTTTCCTCAAACAACCTGTCCCCATTCTTCCTTCTCACTGATTAGGCCTTGGGCCAAGTACTGAACTTTTGGTAACAATATTTTGTGCCATCTACAGGTTGTGCAGAGGGCATGAAAGCAGTTTTGAGGTTGCTTTTCCTCTTCTGGGTGGGTTTTCATCTTCCAGGTTTGAGCAGTTCAGAGTCTCGATGCCTGACTAGAGGGAACAGAGACCCACAGTGCTGCCAGAGCATCTCCCCCTTCTAGCAGCAGCAAGTACCCTTGTGTTCTCTGAAAGAAGAATCACACTCTGAACGGACATTTACAAAATAATAATGACCACAGTAACATCTGAAAGCATGATAGGAATAGAGAACTTAACAGAGATTGCTCTGGATCAACTAAGAACACAATTTCTCTTTATTAAATCATTTATGAATGATTTAAATGGAGATGCTCCTGGAAGGGAATGAACTAATTACAATGGTGCCATAGCTGCATCAAGAGGAGGGAACTCTCAGCCAGAAAAGCACATAAGCCACAGATAGTTTACAAGGAATTTGGCAACACAGTTAGGTATGGTTTTCTTTCTTATAATTACAAACGTTTTTTTCAAATAAATACACCTGAATCACAAAGAAAAAAATGATACAACAGTTTTATAAATGAAAAAGAAACCTACATATCTCTCCAAAATAGCAGGCATAGAATGATCTATGCGTAACCCAAAAGCCTTGCGATGGTGTTCCCATCTTGAGTGGCAATCAAAGAAGCAGGATACATTTCCCCTTATCCATATCTGTCCTGTACAGAGTCCACCAGTAGTTGAACAGCTGCAAAATTCTGATTTTTGTGTAATAGCAGCTCAGTGGTAAGAACCAATTGTATGTTAAGTTTGACTACTCATCACTATAATTTTAAAGCTACATACACCAAACCTAATGCTATACGTATTTAAAAATCAAGTTTTCCTCTTCATTTAGAGATAATGTTTTTCCTCCCATCCCTAGAATTTTCAGTTGAGCCAGTCACTTTCCTAGGAAAATTCAATACATTGCAGTATAAAAGAGAAGCCAATCCAATTTTAATCCTATGTTTAAAAATGAAAAGCATCTGCTTTCAAAATACCCCTCATCACCTTTGTAAAGTGAACATTAACCTAAATAGATGTTAATTCACTCTTTTCCCCACTCTTCCCCTCCACCAGTCTCCTCTATCCCCAAAGACAGCCTTATTAGACTAGCGCCTCTCCTTACTCACACGTGTACTGGATTACAATTTAAATGCAAATAACCCTACACCTCATTATCTAAGCTCGTGCGGATTCGGTACAGTTGACTGTGCTGAAGCCTGTGAAAATTAAACGAAGGTTCATCTGTATTCTAACACATGCATTACTTAGAGTAATTTCAAAAGAGCAATTCATCACTGCTTTTAAATTAAATGCTGGAATTGCAGAGTGCCTAGGTAACGGAGAAATGCCTTCCTTTTACCACACAGGCAAGCCTTTCCACAAAGGCCACAAGATAGGAACTTCTCTTAACTGTAGCTGTTCAGTGAGTTCCCAATGGCATTAAGTAATTGAAATGAGAGACTTCATTTTCATACGAATACAGCTAGCTGAGTGGAAAAGATACATTTATGGTAATGCTGAGCACAATGGGAAGACAATCTAGATGCCCTCCAAATACCATGGACAAGCAAATTGTCAACAATGATAATCACAAACCGACATGGCTTCAAAGATATAGTTTTTATTTTTTTGCAAAATCATCTTTCAAATATAAGCTTACTTTAAAATAATTCTTTGGTTAAAGTATAATTAAAAAAAAAGTAGAAACTCCTCCAAGCCTTTCAATACAGGGTGAAAAATACCCCCTCTTTCAGCCATCAGATGGCCATTTAACCAGCCATTCAGATTCTAGGAATCTAAATATAATGGGAAACACTGTCATCTGAACTCCATACTGGGGTGAAGCACTCAGCTCCTAGCTACCAGTGCAGTAATGGGGAAGAGAGCCTGGGAAACTGAAACCCCCCAGCTTAGGCATTAAAATGGGCCAATTATTCTAGTCCACAGAGGAATAGGAAGAATGGATGTGGTATTTTCAAATCATGGAAAGCACAGCCCTATCTATGAATAATACTTAGCAGATCGATGTGGCATACTTTTAAAGTAGGAAACTGTTTCATAGACACCTAGTTTACTTCCGACAGTTTTCCACATTAAAAAAAAAATTTCTCTATACAAGAAACCATTTCATTCTAACCTGGCATTTTCTTCCTTCCTTTTTCTTCTTTCCCCCTCCCACTTGCCACACATCGTTTGTTCTTTTTAGCATCAGCTCAGATCAAAAAGAACCAGCCTCAACTTCAGGTTGTAATATCAACCGAGTACATTTGGATGATGTGAAATCGTGTAATAGTCTCTTTCTTTTATGATGCATAGATTCAACATGACTTCCAAAGAAATTCCCAGTTGCAGTCCAAGGTTGGTTTTTCTTACAGGTAAATATGCCGTGAGAATTTCATGGGAATCCCAATCATTTGGGCCATTTCAATAAACATTTTGGATAATTAAAGTAGAGGAATAAACTCTTGCACTCAAGAGTTTTCCATTAATTACTCAGAAAATTATTTCAGATCTCTGCCTCCTTTTGCTCACATGTTGTGTCCATATTGGACTAAGGACTATGACTTGTAGCATAGTCAGACCAATTTACCAGATTGTCACAGGACTGAGATGACTGGGAGAGACAGAGCAGATAGCTTGCCCTGCCCGGGCTCTGTTTTCTACAAGTACTGATACTTCCCAGAACACATGGCTACATGGATCTGATGTGAGGTGTTCAAGCATTATTCCCAGCACTGAGAGCCTGCAAAAATTTGCAATGTATCTAATATAGATTACAGAGCTAATTAAACAGTGGAGTTACTTCATTTCAAATACCAGAAGAATGAATGGTAGCCACATTACATTAGCTGTAATGTGACTTTTAAGATCTCTGATGGGAGCAATGCCTCCCGACCCAACATCTCAAGCCTACAACATTTATATAAACAGGTCAATACAGGATTATTTCCATACCCAGAAAGTAGATTGTTGTTTGTGCAATGTGAAAAGAAACCACAAATCTGTATTTTAAAATGTAAATTTCATGTCATATTTCTGTAAGTAGCTTAAAAAAATACAACCATCCTCCTTTTTCTGATTAACATATATGGCCACCATCCTTTCACTTCCTCTTCTTTCCAGGGGTCAAGTTCCAGTTTTTTAAGCATACATGTTTTATGCCTCTGGGTTCTGAAATTTGTTCCATATTACTACAACATGTATAGGTCTGTCTTACATTAACTAATGTTCTAGCGGCTGGGATTTCCCTTTGCACACATGTTCTATAAAGTAAACTGTATCATTCCAGACCATTGTCTGTGGCTATCAACAGCCTACAAGTCACATAGTTAAACAGACATTGATAACTGATGTTTTGGTTTGATTGTCATTTATTTTTCTTTTAAATAAACTCCCTCTAAGTGCAGGAAGTAGATGTACTCAGAAACCACAGGATGTGGCTTTCCAAATTTTCTCAAATAGCCCTACCTATATATTTTAAATTATAGTAGAAAAACAAGCAAAAAATGATAGCACAAGTAGCAGAGCAGTCATGACTATCATCAATTAAATTAGTTCCCTGACTTCATCAGACATCCCTGGTATAATTGATGTGTTTGTGGGTGTTCTGTTACGGTTGCCATGTACTGTGAGTATACAACCACCTGACCCTTGATGTGGTTTGTAAAGATGACCATATTGCACAGAGCAAGCTTCTTGCTAACGCAAATAACATACCTAACATACATCCCTTCCCAAGGTCCAAGTCCTTAACTAGTTAACATAGTCTAGAATCTAGGGGCAAAGACCAGCAAATGATGGTGATTCAGAAGTGTGGTGGCTTGGTAGGTTACAATACGGGTCACTCCAAGTCCTTTTCTATTTTTCAAGTTCTCTGCACCTATGATTGATGCTTCACACATTTATCCTCCTCCTGAATGTCCAAAAGTGCTTTGTCTCTCCATTTCACAGACAGAAGCAAAGGGGACAGGCTGTAGCAAGAAGGGCCAGCTACTTTAGAGAAAATGTGGTGAGACCAGGGCAAATGTTAGTATCCTCAAGCAGGTGTCTTGAGCCAGTGACACTGGAGTAGGGGCTCTACTGAGGGTGGAATCTGATGTTTAACCTAAGAATAATTCTCTTCAGAGCGTATTTTCTAATAACTTTACAAGGATTCCTCAGCTTGGCTTTGCCTAACTGGAAAATGGAGTTTAGAAGAAAACTCCATTCTCAAACTGGTAGCTCAGTGCTCCCCCAGCTAGATTCTGAGCATAATCTTTCTTCTTGCAGCCCTTATAGTAGGCCGGTAGCTCCCTTTGGGAGGAGTGAGGCTTCTTAGCTATGCATAGGTGGAAGGAAGAAGATGTCTTCTGCTGCAGCGGGTGCCCCGATTTAGGAAGACAATTCTCGGAAGCCTTGTTAGCTAGGCAAGAGTCTGGAGAGAACCTTTTTTTCCCCTCTGAATCAAATCTTTTTCTCATTTACACACTCCAGTCATGAGAACTTTAAGCGTGAAAGGAAATATGCTAAAGTATTCTGAGCTGTTCAGCACTGTCACTAAACACAACAAAAAGACATGTCTCCAAAAGGCCTTTTCTTCTCATTCACCCCTGTGGTTCATTCTTGGAGCAAGGTTTCTCTCCAGTTGAAGCCCCCAGTTGGTCCATGGGTCAGAGGAAGGATGGGTGGGTCTGTCAGCTGCCATATTCCAGTTTCTCCTAATTCTTCACAGGAACAAAATCCCAGGTATGGGATCTGAAGAGTAGCAAAGAAAGGGGAAATAGAATATGAGGCTTAATGCGTCAACTCTCACCCAGACACAAAGATATTTCAGTGGCCCTAAAGAATTATAGTCAGAAATGAACAGGGGATTTGTAGAAATGCATTCCATTCAATAATCAATACAACAAATGAAAAGGGTAAAACTGATAAATTAGAGGGAAGGGTAATTACATTGCAAGAGGATTCATCAGAAGGACCCATTACATCCTAGAGGAACTCTTCTAGTGCAATTAAATAATTGTTTATAGACTACTGCTTAATAAAGTAGGAGAAAATGAAAAAAGAATATATATATCGCTCAGGTGCCAAGAGTAAATTCTTAATTGCAAGTCAAGTTAAAAAGGCAGCTCAAACATTTCTGAAATTATATGTGGATACAATGCGAAAGATTATTCAATTTTTAAAAATTTGTTTTAATTTTTTTTTTAATGCGGATCTGTTAACATTCAAAGCAGAAGCTGTGGCCTCCCTAACTTAAGTAGTCATGGCAATTTCAAAATTTATTGGTACATGTGTGTGTGATCAAAGCTGCATTCATAAATAAGACCAAAAAGAAAAAAAAAAATCTCTGCCCTCTAGAAGCTTCCAGACTAATGGGAAGGACAAATGCATAAATAAGCTTTTTAAAAATGAGAACAAAAAGTGCAATTGAGTTTGAACCAGGTTCTCTGGTGGCAGAGAAAGGAAGTACCTAACTCCCCTGAAGGAAGTGTGTGGGCGGTAGCTGACCAGGAAGCCTTTCCCACAGGCATGAAAACGAGGACTCCAGATGTGGGGTCAGCCTCATGGGTTTTCTATCTTGCTGCCTTGTTCCTGGGTTTGCCTTTCAGACCAGTCATTTTAAATTGCTGCAATCCTTGGCCTACCTGTGAGGACCCGTCCTTAAGCTAAGCTTTGAGATGTTGTATGTTCTGGACCCAGCTTTGTTTATCCCATCCAAGGTGCCTCAGGGAAATTCAGATGATTTGCTTATAATTTTTAGCTGCTTCTTATTTTATTTATTTACTTTTTTGAGACAGAGCCTCAAACTGTCCCCCTGGGTAGAGTACTATGGCATCACAGCTCACAGCAACCTCTAACTCCTGGGCTCAAGCGAGTCTCCTATCTCCACCTCCCAAGTAGCTGGGACCACAGGTGCCCGCCACAATGCCTGGCTATTTTTTTTGGTTGCAGCCATCATTGTTGTTTGGCGGGCCCGGGCTGGATTCGAACCGGCCATTTTAGGTGTATGTGGCTGGCGGCTTAGCCACTTGAGCCACAGGTGCCAAGCCTAGCTGCTTCTTAAATTTTAGCTCTTAGAAGCTGGAATGAGCTCTAAAACATTTTGTCTATTATACAAAGCCTAATAAAGTGCCTTACACAGAGTACCACTCAATACATCTTAGTTGAGTGAATCAATAAATGGATCTTCCAGTTCAGCATAAACACGTGCTTTAAAGAACTGAACTCTAAGCTAGTCATTGAACTGTCATAAAACTACTAGACACCATGGGCCCCATACATGCAAGAATAAATTACCTTTCGGACCATTTGTACAAAGTCCTTGGAGTTCTGAGGTGACAGGCCCTGCAGCTGGCAGGTACATGCTTCAAGGGAAGATGCGTGAGCCACAATCAGAATGTTATTTCCTAGGAAGGGGTGGGGGGAAGCAAGGAATGGGAAGATCATTTCTATAAAGACATATGTAACAAATACTAGAAGCCAAGTGCTCTGCAGAGGAGCAAACATATACAAGAAGATAATTTGCCCAAGCAATTTTTTTTTTCTTTTGTGAGACAGAGTCTCACTCTGTTGCCCTGGGTGGAGTGCTATGGCATCATAGCGCACAGCAACCTCAAACTCTTGGGTTTGAGCAATCCTCCTGCCTCAGCCTCCTGAGTAGCTGGGACTACAGGTGTCCCATGATAAATGGCTTGCCAAAGCAATATTTTGAAAATGCTTTATTATTGTTAAGGCAGCCTAATGTTTTCTTGAGAAGCTTTTTATCTTAAAGTAATTATAAATTTATAGGAGGTTAAATACATACATACACCAGCGGGTTGTACCCTTCATCCAGCCTCCCCCAGTGGTAATATCTTACAAAAGTGCAGTATACTATCAAGGTCAGCACAGTGGTTGCAGCTATAATCCTAGTACTCTGGAAGGCTGAGGCAGAGGATCCCTTGTGTTCAGGAGTTCGATGACAGCCTGAACAAGAGTTAGACCCCCACCTCTATTAAAAATAGAAAAAAGTAGCCAGGCATTGTGGCAGGTGCCTGTAGTCCAAGCTGTTTGTGGGGCTGAGGCAAGAGGATCACTTGAGTTTGAGGTTGCTGTGAGCTATAATACCACTCTGGCCTGGGGGACAGAGTGAAACTCTGTCTCAAAAAAAAAAAAAAAAAAAGTGTGGCATACTGTTAAACCCAGGGAGTGGACACTATTATAATCCACATAACTTATTCAGATTGCACCAGGTATATAGTTACTCCTTGGTGTTTACGTGTGTATACACTTCTCTGCTAATATATCACATGTGTAGCTTTGTGCAACCACCAAACTACAATTGAGATACAGACTCTTTATACCATCTCTTCTTCTATAGTTTTAAATGTTGCCGCTGTAGAACTGTGAGTATTTGAGACTTTCTGGCTGGCAGAACATGCTGTGTACCTTGATGGTTGTGAATGGCTTTAGAAGTGATAAACTGGAAGGTGGGAATTATCTATAATTATGTTGCCTAGGGCTATCGACTGTTAACATGTTCACGTATACATATATAATTCCAGTCTTTGCTCTATGAATACAAGTATTTTAACTTAAAAGGATATTGGGATTGTGCACACTATTCTGCAATCTGCCTTTTCCACTAAAAGTATTGCAAACAGTCTTACTTGTCAATAAATAATTGAGCTCAATGTTTAGGAAATGTGGTAGCAAGAAGCCTTGAGCTTTATGGAGCACAGCTCTTGGTTGGTAACAGCAGGAGGTGTATTATTTGTGTAGGTGTGTTTGTGTAGATGTGTTTGTGTGTGGGTGTCTGTACTCCTAGATCAATTATGGGAAAAACAGTGGTATGCTAGAGAACTTTTGGAAATTACAAAATCTCCTTTCTAAAGTGTAAGGTGAATAGCTGTCATGCAGAATCTCTGTCATTAAGTACAGTGACTAAGCTTATGCGTTCCTCTGAAATACCTACCATTTTAGGTACTCAGAGCATATTACAAATTCAGTGTGAAAATACCTAGAAGAAAATCTGGAAATAACATTATTTTTCTTCTCTATTAAGCAATTTTGCCAAAGCACACTGAAACATTTTGAATATTCTATTAAGCATGATGAAAAAATTATCACATATTTAAACATGGAGTCCAAAATAATGCCACTTACCTTTACTTTTACATTCACTTATTATTTCTTTTGTTACTTGGAAACTTCTACTGATGTAAGTGTCATAGGATTCTGAAACCACTAATTTGCTGACTGGAATGTGAGGTCTGTAATAGAAAAATGAACAACGGAAATGAAAACATTTTGATATAGAGACAAAGGACATCACTCTATAAACATTTATTTCAAGACTTTTCTAAAGCTCTAATATTTCTGTTAATCCTTTTCCCTAGAAAAAAGGGAGGTTATAGGAAAGAGTATTTCCTGTGCACTGAAATGTATAGAAATAAAGACTTTCTATATGGTGTTAGTGTCTAACTGAAAAATGAGCATTCAGTCTGTGTTTCACCCACAGGATAACACACAAGCTGTTTACTGGTATCCCACATAGCTAACAGAAAGCAAGCCGAGGTGGGTGAGGTGGCTCAGGCCTGTAATCCCAGTGCCATGAGAGGCTAAGGCAGGAGGATCACTTGACACTAGGAGTTCAAGACCAGCCTAAGCATAAGTGAGACGCCATCTCTACAAAAATAAAAAAATTAGCCCGGTGTGGCATAGACCTGTAATCCCAACTTTCTAGGAGGCTGAGGCAGGAGGATTACTTAATCCTAGGAGTTTTGGCTGCACTGAGCTGTGATGAGGCTGCTGCACTCTAACCAAGATGACAGAGTGATATCCTGCCTTAAAAGAAACAAACAACAACAACAACAACCAAAAAGAAACTTGCAAAGTAGACATTAGAATTCTCTACCTACTAGATCAGCAGGGATTCCTGCAACACAGACAGGAAAATCAGACATTAAGTCCCTCTGATTTGTGAACCTACACAATTTTCACCTGTCTTTTCCTTTTCTCTCTCTCTGCTTTTGAACACAGACCATCAGCCTGGCACTAGGAGAATCCCAGGGGACATAAAGATTAAGAGAACCCAGTCTCTGTGCTTGAGGAGCTATCTGTGTGGATGGGCTGAGCAAACTATCGGTACGATCTATGGGTTTTTAAGTGGGCAGTTGAAGTAGCACCTCCCATCCTGGTGACCATGCACATCTTTAAAGCCGGTCACCGATGCTCATGGGGCCCGGCCTGCCTTTATTCCCTCCGCTTAGTTCTGTGCGTTTTCTGGTCCGTGAGATGTTCATCGTGTTTTGGAGTGTCATTTCACTTTTCTGTTTTCCTATTTTGTCTTTCATTGCTGGGTGTTTAGTGCATGGCAGAGGTGGCAGTGGGATGTTATAGAGAATTCACACGGCATCTTAATCAGAATACATTAATGTTGCCACTGCTGGTACTGACAGTATTTACCAAGAGGTCACCATATGTCATGCTCTGAGCGAGTGTATTCTTTCAGTATAATCCTTCCAGCAGCCTTCTGTAAACAACAAAAGGAAGCTCAGAAAGACTGCAGCTCACTGGCCTACACTCACACCATCAGCAGCTCTTCCTGCCCGGAATTGAATCTGCATCTGAGATCTGCCTATAGCTTCTCCTCCACCCTGGACAGCTTCTGCCTGTGTCTGCATTAAGGCTGCCCTTCTGTGCATGTGGACTTATTGTCCATTCCATTTGAAGGAGAACCGCCCTTCTCTGATGTTCTCTTGGCAGGCGTGTTTCTCCTAGGGAACAACCTACGGAATCTCACACACCCTGGGGGCAGGTACAGCTGTGAGTCACCACTTGTTAGGGCTGTGCCTCAGTGTTCTGGAGCAAACTATTCTTCTCTCCCCATCCCCACCTCTCTTCTAGTTCCATCCATCATCACCATTTAGGTCATCGGGTCTCTTGGGAGCCCCCAGGCACTGTGACAAAAGGCTACTCTGTATGGGAGTCATTGCAAGGGTGAGACCAGGTCGTGAGATTTACATGCGTGAAGAAGAACTGGGTAGATGCTGGGATCTAGTTCCTCTGATCAGCTTTTGCCTTTGGCTTCTCCCAGCACCTTGAAGTTGAAGTTGAACCTGTAAGTGGCTCCCCTGTCTGACCAGCCCTGGAGGGTATGTCTGGGGCCAAGTCCCAGCTTCCTGCCCCTGTAGCAGGAATCACCATGCCCATAGCCAACCTGCAGGGCCTTGTACCACCCTCAGCGACAGGTGGGCTTCCCAGCACCCACTAGACCCAGAACCCAGTGCTCTGGGTTCTCAGGTGACACCCTCCAGAACAGTGTCCTCCCTGGTGTGCTCTCCATGCCTGAGCCAGGTCCAGGCTGTAGCTCAGGGCAGAGGCTCCACACCAAAGTCTGATTCATTGTCATTCTAACACTTCAGGTCCTTGCCCTGCCCTGCATCCTCACCTGCCCCCTCAGGTCTGAAGCCTTGCCCAGGTGGTCTGTGTTTGGTTTTTTTTGCCTTGCTCCTTCTGGCCCAGCTCCCCAAGGCTGGGGTTGCTTTTCATCCCAGCCCCTAGGCTGGTCTTGGTGCCTGTGAATGATGCTTAGTCTAGTTGCCTCCTTGACGAGTTTCTCTAACTTGGATTCTTGTCCCACCTCTGTCCTATTGTCTGTCCACCCCTGCTGCAAGGTGACAGGACTCTTTAGGCTGTCTCTCTCTCATGCTTTAACATTGGCTTTTTCAACTGATCTATACAGTTTGAGGCTTCACCTCCTCCCCTACCTCCCTTACCACACGGAAAATTGTTGAATTGAATTTTGATTTGCTGGAGAGGAAAAGAAGATCTGGAATAAGGACTGTGTCCTGATCTTCAAGTTTCCACATTTACCCCTTTGCCTGTACTGCTGGCAGGGCATGGGTGTGTGCACTGAAGGGCTCAGCTGGAAGGAGTCTGGACACCTTTGTAAGTCAGCTTGGGAAGCTTGCACAAGGCACCCAGTGGGAAAACTGAAGACATTGTTGGCCCAAGGTGGCCTGGGTGGGGCTGGTGATGAAAGTCCCGTCATCAATGTTGGCAGCAATTTCCCCTCTATCCAGGCCAGAGGGATGATGTCTATTGGCTTTGGGACCACAATTTATTGCTATTTCCCCACAAAGAACAGAAAAACGGTGGCCAGAGAGGGGATAGAACAACATGTTAAGTATTGTAAGGGATCTTATTGATTCATTTAAATTCATTTTTGAGGAATGCTAATTCCTTTAAGAAAAGAAAAAGTAACACACAATTAATTAGTGGGGTTGTTTGAGGTCTTATTTGCTGAGCAGAAAAATGAGTGTAGGGGAAAAAAAAGATGTTCTCTCCTACCTTAGCCAGAAATGCATGCTGCTTTATATGGGTTTGGGTGGATATTTGAAATTAAAGGTCAATAGCATCACAAGAAAATTAATTCCGCTTGTAGTGGCCACTTGTTCTAAATTCTGTCCTAAGAAATATGAACTTAATTTCCCACTATAATTGTTGTGACCGTTTCTCCTCAAAGAGATTTTACAAATGCCAGAATGCAGTTTTGATAATTAGTATAATTATATTATTATTGGATAATTTTTAATTGTGTACATGTGGATTATTCACCTATGAGCAGTCTGTTAATACAACCACTTTTTAAAATCCCAGCACAGTCAGGTCTAATTGAAAAAGCAAAGGAATAGGAATGAGATCACTGAATGGCACATCACATGGTGCTTGACATGCAGACATGATGAATAAAAGTTAGCAATGATGGTGGTGATGGTGGTGATGATGATGATGATTATCATGGTGATGATGGTGGTGATGATGATTACCATGGTGATGATGGTGGTGGTATATGGTATACACTTAGTGTATATATAACTTGGGCAAGCCACTTGAACTCTTCTGTACGTAAACTCTATAAACTCTTTTGCATATAATCTGAACTATTAGAGGGATAATGAATCAGACTTTGGTGTGGAGCTCGGGACAGAGGCCTGGCCTACAGCCTGGACCAAAGCAGGCTGAGGCGCAGAGAGCACACCAGGGCATCAGCCACATACACCCAGGCTGACAGGTTTGAACCAGGCCCAGGCCTGCTAAACAACAATGACAATTGCAACCAAAAAACAGCTGGGTGTTATGGCAGGTGCCTGTAGTCCCAGCTACTTGGGAGACTGAGGCAAGAGAATCACTCACACCCAAGAGTTGGAGGTTGCTATGAGCTGTGACATCACAGCACTCTACCCAGGGCGACAGCTTGAGATTCTGTCTCAAAACAAAACAAAACAAAACAATGGCTTGTGTACATTCTGGGCTTATAGTAATAATAAATGAAGATAGTAAAGAGAATTAACAATACTTCAATAGTTAAAAGTGAAAATCCAAAGTGAGACATTGTTATCTCATCTCCCAAGAAGGATCTCAATTGCATCATCATTAGCAGGTGTTTATTCTTGGAATACAAATGTTTTTTTATTACACCAAACTAGATATAACTAGGGCAGGAAAATCCAATACAAGGGGTTGAGGGCTGGGAATCTAATTCACACTAATCCAAGTACACGGCCATGCTGGATTTTCTCCAGTTTTGTTTTCCTAAATCATAGACTTAACTTCTCCACCAATAGGAACAACTGCCTGGAGGTGATGTCTGTCCCTTCATCTCTCTTTCATGAACTTGGCCCAGTCATAGTGTGGAAAGTATTTTCACATTGGCCTCAGGATGTCGTGGTTTCCAGGGGTTACCTGTAGGTTGTATCAACACTCAGGTTGGCTGCAGCTAACTCTGATGGAGATATCCATGCAGGTAATGAGTTCCCAGCAACCCATTTTGTCCACTCAAATAAGCCAGGCTCTACACGGATCTTCAAGTGATTTTCTTGTTGTAAACCTTAGAGGTAAAATAGAATGAAGATGAAGAAAGTGTAGCTATGTTGTCAGTGGAAAAATAAATTATAGGCCAAATTGTTGCAAAAATGCTGGTAAATCAGCTGTTCTCTTTCTTACTGAATGCTAATGTGGAAGCATGTGGGTTTAGATGAGGGTTTTTAATTTTTGTGTGTTACAAACACATGAGTTTAGTATTCTTGCCATATGCCTAGGCTATCTGCTGACTTTATGTGGTATCTGATTTAAGGGAAAAAAACCTTACAAGTTATTCACATAATTTATTCCATTCTGTGACTGAGTGGTAGTCTGAGCCTACAATTCTAGCTACTGGGAGGCTGAGGCAGGAGGATCACTTGAGCCTCAAAGTTTGAGGCTGCAGTGAGGTATGATTGCACCACTGCACTCCAACCTGGGTGACAGAGTGAGATTCTGTCTCTAAAAATAATTAATTAAAAATAAAAGGATTTGAGATTATTAAGAGCACCATTGCTCCTGTAAACAACAGACAACAAATCAAAACAGGAGGAAATTATTTGACTATTTTAAGTGCAAAGAAAGGCTCATATGCCATAAGCACTAAATATTCTTGCAAAGGCTACAGTTCATCCAAGAGAGCTTTGAATTCTCAAGAAAAACATTATTAGTACAATATGAGTACAATTTCTTTTATTTGGCTTAGGCTGACAAAGTATGATTTTATGACTTCTGCAAGATCATCATTTAAAGCAGCAGTTCTCCACCTGTGGGTCATGACCCACAGGAACCGTATTAAAGGCTCGCAGCATTACGAAGGTTGAAAACCACAAGAATCCTTGCTAAAAATTCCAGATTCAAACCTTTCAATTGGCTCATGTCCCATGACTCTCAGATAATTTAGGTGCAGAACAGCCTAGAGACAGAGGAATGGACCTCTGTCAACCCAAGAGGTCAACCCCATTGACCTTTGTCAACCCAAGAATCTTGTACCTTTTAAAATATTGTGGGCAGTCTGAACGCAGCGTAGGGAGGGGGAGCAATAGACATGGTCAATAACCGTGTTACTCTCTAATAAGGCTTCACCTGCAAAGAAAACCAAGGAAGAATCAGTCTGATAGATTTACTCAGTTCAGCTTGACACTCAGTGTGAAGCCTAGGCCTTTTGTGGGCCCCTCTTTCCCAGTTGGGGCTCACATAGAGAATGGTGTGGACACCTCTTCCCTAGTTGGGGCTCATGTGGAGCCAATGGTTTCAACCTTGTTTCCCCCTTTATCAGCTGGTTTCAACCTTGTTTCCCCCTTTATCAGTGCCCATATGGAAGGGGGCAAGTGACAAGGGATCTTCTTGTCATGTTCTTTCTTTCTCCCTGGTGCTAATAAGTGGTAAAACATCCATCTAGGAGAGTCCTAGGAGCACAGGACAATGCTCTGACTTTAAGTTTGTGGTAGAGGTGAGAAAGTTAATACTGCAAAAATTAGGCCTTGTTTTAATTTTATTCTGTGCTAACCAAAACCACAACTTGTCATGTTCTTGGACACGAGAAATAAATCCCAACACCTGATAATAACCCTTCTTTTATGGAATCCACTTCTCTCCATTGGATAAAGTCCCTTCACCTCAACATGGTGATAAGGTCTTCTGTGAACTTATCTTTCTCCATCTTTCCTCATCAGCCTCATCTCTTGTCCTGCCTCAATTTATACCAGTGGGGTCTAACCTGCATCTCATGCTGATTTTGTGAGCATTTTTTCTGCTTATCTGTGATGTTGGGAATCATGAAATGTGTGCACAGACCTTTTTTTGGCTAATCAGTTTGCATTAGTGTTTGTGTATTTAATATGTGGCATGAGACAACCCTTACTCTTTCAGTGTTTGGCAGATAAAAAAAAAAGGTTGGACACTCCTGATTTATACTCTGGAACCAAGGCTGCCTGTTTCTCTGCACGATACTGTTTCTTCTACAACTTTGTGGTATTTCCCACCGAGAATGTCCTTTCTTTCCTTTTGCTCCATCTTTGACAGTAACTTCCACTTCAGCTCCCAGCTTGCCTCTTCCACCCTTTTAGATTTTTTTTTTTTTTTTGGCTTTCCCATAAAACTTTGTGCATGGCTTTGCTATTGAATTTAACATACAGGGTGTATATAAAGTTCATGGGCAATTTAAATAGTAAACAAGTTTAAATTGCCCATGAACTTTATGTCTACACTGTATCATATGACATCTGTCCATGCATAAATTTGTTTCCTTGATGGTGGGGGCTCATACCTGGGTCTCCAACACCCAGCTGGATAATTTGCACGAATTAAGTAATCAACAAATATCTGTTAAATGACTGAACAGGACAGGTTACTGTGGCAGGCAGGCATGGCAGGTATTAAATGAACCTGTAAAGACCTGGGCATCTCTGAAGTACCACCTGGCTTGTGTAAATTCAGCCACTCCAGGGCTCTCTGCTCCTGAATTCTTGCCCTGTTCTTACAGCCACGTGGCAGAGGCTGCTGTTTTGAAGTAGAAGCTGACCTCCCCCATCACTCTGTCATGCACTTCCCAGTAGGGTCACCCCTCGTTCAGTTTGGTAAAGTAACCTGGGGCTGAGCACCTAAGGGTTGGACAATAAATCCCTTTGGAATGGAGGAAATATATTACAAGTAGGAAAGTTATGGAAACCCACAGAAGGTGTCCTGAGTACCTCATGGTACCAGTCTTCTGAAGCAGCACCCAGGCCACTCACCCACGAGTCTTGCTTGCATACATCCAAAGACAGTGATTGGTGCGTCTTTCTCGTAGTCCCGGAAACCACCGCTCCGCTGAGGTAAACTGTGAGGCATGTTCAGGTTGGTGCGTATGTAGCGGCCTGGAAAAAGAAATGGTCAGGTAGTGCCTACATGAGCTTCTTGTGTCCTTGGGACTTCCCTTACTGATCCTGACACCCTCTCTACCCTCATTCCTTCCTCAACAAACAGACCAAAATGAACTTGGCAGAAGATGACAGAAAATATTAAGGCTGACACTTTCCCTGGTGAAGTGACACTGAATTCACTGTTCCATGCTGCCAACAAAAGTGACAAGAGATACTTTCCAAGTGAAAGTAACAAACAGATGCTCTAAAGCAGGTGGGATTCTCTGATTAGGCAAGCCTCCCTACTTAAAATGCCACTCAGATGAAAGTGGAACCCAATGAACCAGGGTGATTTAATGGAAAGAACTCAGAGTATATTCTCTGCTGCTAATTTTGTCATATGACCTTGGACAAGATATCTGCCATCTTTGGTTCCTGGTGCTTCCATATAAAAGGGTGTCAAGAAATTATGTCCTCCCTAAAACTCAAAAACAATGACTAAGGACTTACAGATAACAGGTGTTTTCTACAATACACAAACCATCAATGACATCATCTGGATAAATGTAGCTTAGCAGCGCCTCCTAGAGGCCATGATGGGTATGCCAGTGCTGAGCAGGCCTGCCAACAACTCACCTTTGGCATCAAAGCACTGGGACAGCCAGTACTTCCCAAACACAACATCCATCCTTTCCCCATGCCGACACACAAACAGGCATCGCTTTTGAGGGCCAGGCTGGCTGTTGACTCTCAGAGGCTGTGGAGAGAGAAAGGCTGTTAGTGGGAAATGCCTAGAGAAGTAGACATACCCTGGGGCCGGGAGCCAGAAGAGCTGAGCTCCAGTGCAAGGCCCACCGAGGCATACCTTGGACAAGCTCCTCAGCTGCCTTGGATTTAGCTTGGCCTGTCTGTAAAATGAGGCTACTAAGGCTCATCCTACAGGCCTTCGAGGTATTTTGAGGCTTACACGAGATAAATTACAGGTGCTTTGTAAAATAAGAAGGGTTATGAAAATGCAACAGCCACTGTTGTTAGGAATAGCATTTGGCATTACTAAAACAGGATGGCCAGTTTAAGTTACAGCTCAGAGGTAAAAACCAGCCACTAATGCACAGATAGCTGTCTAGTGGGACAGCTTCCTCCCCCAAACGGACACCTCATCAGCTTGTTCAGGAGGTGAGAACTTCTATTATCACACTTATGTCTGCCTCATCTCAAAAGAGTGGCTCTCAGATCACAGGCGTTTTCTACCATATACAAACCATCAATGGTTTTATCCATTTATCCAGATGACGTCATTGATGGTTTGTGTATTGTAGAAAACGCCTATGATTTGGTTCTCAGGGTCTGCTCCAGCAGTGAAGCCTGTTTGCCTAGGTAGGGGCTGTGTCTGACCATGTCCATGCTCAGAGAGGGCAACACTGCCCCTGGGTGATGAAACAGATGAGTCTAGTGAGGCAAGTCCAGATGACTTTGGTTTCTATAACCACTGGGTGGGACCTTTAGAAGTTGCTACTTCCCTTCTTTCTGAGATGATCAGCTGTTTCCAGTTTCTTCAGTGCTATCAGGTCCAGGCTGGCCGGCACTGGACACTTCTGGTTGCCCTGACATGCCTAATACTTGGGACAGTGGTCTTTTCCATTTCTTTTCCTATTGTTGCCTAATTCAAAACCTGGGCTCCAGCCAAGGGGGCTACTCTTTGGACCCTCAACCTGCTTAAACTTTCAACTTACTTTTGTCTGCACTATTCAACAACTACTGTCCCACTCCTCCCATCTCAGTCTTTCGTGGAGAAGCTAACATATGCTGAGCACTCATAATATGCTGGTTACTGTGTTAAGAGCCTTATTTTATTATTTTCTTTAAGCTTCACAACAATTTACTAAATAGATACAACTAAGGGCATTATTCCTACTTTATAGAGATAAAATATCCCTTCCTCTTTCTGTGCAACAACCTTCTCTAATAGCCTAGACTCAAATGCTGGTGGTGACTGTCGATACCACGTAGCTGACCCTTCCTAGCTTTGAATTACAGTGCATCTTTTAAAATCTTGTGTACTCTCTCTCCAAGAGGTTGGGGACCTTTGGGGGCAGCAGGGGAGATGCCTCATGGTTAGTAGAAAGGTTCCTGGTGAATCCTGCTTAGAGTGGAGGATATGGCTCCAATGATCACCTTACCTGCATGGGCTGGCAGATGATAGTCAGGGGTGTTGGCTCCCCCAGTCCCTGCTCCTCATAATGCCTCCTCTCCAAGACTCCATCCCCAAAAGAGAGAGGGTTGGACGATGATGTATTTAAGATGGAGTAAGAACTGCAAAGGAAGATGGGAAGATGCTAACTGCTTTGGCCAGGAGTCATCAGCACTTCATCCTGGTAGTGCAATGGCTGGGAATGCTGAACAAAATGGGCTATTCTTGGGGAAGAACATCTTGTTTTATGCTGAATTCTTGTAATTAATAAGATGGGCAGATGCATTCATCCCTCTGGGCAAGGATGGGGCCCAATGATTTTATGCTTATTAGGATGCCACAGACGTTGGCAACAGAGGCATGTTAAAGAATAATGAGGTATCAATTATGTACCACTGTTTGCAGCTATTTTTCTTGTTCAAAAGAAATAAGCAATCCCTGATGCCTTTGATATTTTCCATGGTAATTTCCATCTGAAGTGAAGAATGAGCTGGGATTTTCAGCCCTCTACCACTTTGCCCACAACTCCTGATGCTCATGGAAACTCTATCCTCTGTTCTATCCTCTTCAGCCTCAAACCCTGTCCCCACCTCAGTAACACCTCCAACAAGATGATTAAAGACAAAACAATTTCAGAGGAGACTGTTCTCACCAGATGTTTAGGGCTGTGAGCCAAGAACTTTCATTGCTGAGTGTAACTACAGAAGCCCAAAAGAGGTCTCACTGCAAGGAAGTCAGGCAAAACGTGCCAAGTTTAAATTATTGTGAATAGTGAGACCTCCAAAAAGCTTCATCTAATAAACATTGCCATTTACATATAGTTGTCAGGCAAATCCAACAAACATCTTGTTCTGAGTTACTGGAGAGAGGCAAGGGGGAGCGTTTAAGTTATAGACGTCTTGTTTCTTTGCAGCCTGGGTCCCACATGCCCCAGTTTGCCCAGCACAGTCCTGGTTTGTGTCTGTTTCCCCAGCAACTTGTTCAGTTCCGCCCCTGTTCTGGATCCTTCATGTTAAATACAGCATTATTATTATAACTTTCTTTTTTTTATTCAGTAAATATTTATCAAGTATCTATCACATCCAGCACAGTTGTAGTTGGTGAGGCTACAAGGAACAAGTCAGTTAACAGAGCTTATCTACAGAGATTGGAAAGCACTTTTGTATACATGCCTACTTTTGATTTTTACAATAACCTCACAGAGTAGATAGGGCAAGAATTGCTACCACCCTCGTGTGGTTAAGAAAATATGAGCTCTTAAAGAAAATATGATGACTTAAACAAAGAATCTTATTTTATTTATCTTTTTTTGGGGGGGGGTGTGGCAGAGTCTCATTCTGTCACCCTGGGTAGAGTGCCATGACATCACAGCTCACAGCAACTCTTGGCCTCAAGCGATCCTCTTGCCTCAGCCTCCTGAGTAGCTGGGACTACATGTGCCTGCCACGATGCCCTGCTAGTTTTTCTATTTTTGGTAGAGATCTTGTTCTTGCTCAGGCTGGTCTTGAATTCCTGAGCTCAGGCAATCCTCCCGCCTTGGCCTCCCAGAGTGCTAGGATTACAGTTGTGAACCACTACACCAGCCAAGAAATTTATTTTAAAAAGAACTTTTTATATTCAACAATATTATGGCTGTTAGTAGATTTTTTTCCAAAAATGATACAGTTTTAATATTTTAGCAGCCCTTTCACTCTCAGGAGTGGCCCTTTTGACTATAAATAAATGATAAGACTCATTCTACTTATAAACAGTGGTCTCAAAAATCTTATACTGGTACTTTGAAAAAGTAATTTTCAGCCCTTGTATATATCAGAATCACCAGGGGGCATTTAAAAAATACTCATGCCTGGCTTGCCGCCTGTAGCTGAAGTGGCTAGGGCACCAGCCACATATATCAGAGCTGGAGGGTTCAAATCCAACCTGGGCCTGCCAAACAATGACAACTACAACCAAAAAAATAGCTGGATGTTGTGGTGGGCACCTGTAGTCCCAGCTACTTGGGAGGCTGAGGCAAGAGAATTGCTTAAGCCCAGGAGTTGGAGGTTGCTGTGAGCTGTGACACCATAGCACTCTACCCAGGGTGAGAGCTTGAGGCTCTGCGTCAAAAAAAAAACAAAAAACAAAAAAAAAAAAACTCATGCCTGGGCCCTACTCCTCACAGACCATGATTCAGCAGGTCTGGATAGGGCCTAGGAACATACAGTTTAACAACGCTGCATCAGGACGTCTGGCGTAGAGCCAATGAAACCTGTTATGGTAAAATTTAAGTAACTGTAGCCCAAGGAAATCTGATGCCATTTACACAGTCTAATGGACAAGCTGTTCTCCTTTATTTTAAACTGAGACCTTCCCGAACATCACACAGTTAAAGAAAATTCAGTTTTACTGTCTGAGTCATCACAGCCCTGGGGACTAATGTGTCTGATGATCTGGAGTCGTGCTGACTTCTTGCTTGAGCGTGTCTCTTCATTTCTTTCTGTGAAGACACAGATAGGATCCCTCTCTCTCCCTCCTTGAGGTCACATGGCGAGGAGAAGGCCAGCCTCCTTCCCTTCTTACCCATCACTGCAAACAAAGGAGTGGCACACTCTGAGACAGCATGAGGCTGTCAGTCCCAGTAAGACAATAGTCAGATGGTTTATGCTGAGAACGGAGAGGGGAGGAAGCCGGGCTTGACACCTAGAACATTTTCCCAAGCACAGAAGGCCCCTCCTTGGGACCCACAAGGTCTGTGGTTAGCTCAGAGGAGCCAGGCAGCTCACTCTGTCTCAGAGGACACAATGGAGCTTCTTCACTGACAGATACTTAGGGATACTCAGAACCAGGCAAGACTCCAGTGCAGGCAGTAAGAAGGTGTCTCCCTAGGAAGGACTCAGAGAACTGAGGCAGGGAGGAAGCTCACTGACCCTCAGTCCCCGCTACATAGTGGGGTCAGTGGGGACCCAGCTGACCCATCAAGCCAGCTGGGTCGCCTGAGCTCCCCCTGCAGCTCTACCTACTCAGGTCTATCTCTGGGAAGGACTGGGCTGAGGTCTGTCATAGGGTGAAGGTGGACTCTACCTGCTTGACTTAATTCTGCCTCTGAGGTTAAATAGGAAAGTGCAAGCCCTCCTTAGGATCACTTTTGTGGGAAGAGACATTTGCTTTAATGAATACAAAAGCAAGGACTGGTAAGCAAGAGACAGGAAAAAAATTATCATAACATGAATGGCTACTGGACAGGCAGTGCTGTTATACACCTGACTGATCCATGGAAAGTGAGGCCTTATGAGGGAAGTGCAGTTATTAGCTTTACTTTCTAGATAAGCAAACAAGTGCAGAGGGGTGATACAGCTTGGCCAGGTGACACAGCTGCTAAGTAGGAAAGATCTGAATCAAAGACTACTGAAATCAGAACTTAATTTTTCTTTTTTTGAGACAGTATCCTGCTCTGGGGGCTGAAGTGCAGTAGCCTCATTATAGCTCACAGCAACCTCAAATTCCTGAGCTCAAGCTGGGACTATAGTCACCCACCACCATGCCTGGCTAACAAAACTTAAAGTCTTTTCTTTCTTTCTTTTTTTTTTTTTTTTGAGACAGAGGTTCACTTTGTCACCCTCGGAGAGTACCATGGTATCCTAGCTCACAGCAACCTCAAACTGTTAGGCTCTAGCAATTCTCTTGCCTCAGCCTTCCGAGTAGCTGGGACTACAGGTGTCCACTTTAATGCCTGGCTATTTTTAGAGATGGGGCCTTGCTCTAGCTCAGGCTCGTCTTGAACTCGTGAGCTCAGGTGATCCGCCTGCCTCGGGCTCCCAGAGTGCTGGGATTACACGTGTGAGCCACCTCGCTCAGCAAAAGGTAAAGTCTTTATCACGGTATCCTAATGCCTAAGGCTAGCATTTCCCTGCTCTCAGCAGGGCTGGCTCTGGAAGCTGATAGTTTAATTCCAGACATGATACCAAGGGAAATAACATCACTGGTAATTTCTCCAAAGGAAATGACACACAGGCTGCAGCCACTTAGGTTGGCCCATGCCTCAGTCTGAGCTCTGACTCAGGGCAGAGTGGGTTTGAATGACGTGACCTTAAACATGGCAGCAGGGCATCTCATCTACACTCTTCTCATACACGTAGCCCTACTTTTAAGAAAGAGATCTGGGCCGGGCACAGTGGCTCACACCTGTAATCCTAGCACTCTGGGAGGCCAAGGCAGGTGAAGTGCTTGAGTTCAGGAGTGGGAAACCAGGCTGAGCAAGAGTGAGTCCCTTCTCTATTAAAAAAAAGAAAAGTAGCTAGACGTTGTGGTGAGCGCTTGTAGTCCCAGCTACTTGGGAGCCCGAGGCAAGAGGATCTCATGAGCCCGAGAGTCTGAGGTTGCTGTGAGCTATGATGACATTATAGCACTCTACCTCAGGCAAACAGAGTGAGAATCTGTCTCCAAAATAAATAAATAAATAAATGATTGAGATCCGGGAGCTGTGCTTTATTAGGCAAATAATCTTTTAGTTCTTAGTTTATTTATGCATATTTTGCTTTACTTGTTTTTATAAAGATAAAATAGTGACTTTGGAAACCCAGCTTAGGCATTTTGATCTTCAGAAACATTTCTGAAAAGGCAAATGTTTGGGGAACATGAGGCAGCTTTGATGCTTTAATTTTGTGCCATCAGATGCTGGATGTTCACGAGCAGGCGGGAGGTGGGGAATGGAAGGGAGCAGAAGGGACTGCCGGTGGGGTTACTAAGGAAGAAAATAGTCTTCCCCTCAAACCTGTCTGTGGTTTGTCTGCTTGTTGCTCACCAGGGCAGGGGACCCTCTTCCTTTCTCCCTGCAGGCAAAACACTTGCTGAAATCACCCCTCTCCTCTTGTGTGGTGGCAGTAACGATGTCAGCCACCAGGCAGCTGGTGCCCAGGGATTCTGCCCCTCAGCCATGTTGCCACATGGTGCAAACAAGAGGGAGGAAAAACAAAGCAGCACCTGCACCCTGGCTGGATGCTTGAGTGTGGCAGGGAAGCGCTGGCTTGGAGCTGCTTGGATTGAGGGAGAGAAGGTGCCTTTCACTACCATTTTCTTATGGGGACAAAACTGGCCAGACGACACAGGCCATTCTGAACATGGGAACAGTAAGGGATGGGAGCAAAACAGTAATGAGGGTGGGTGGGAAGTTACTGCACTAGAGAAGGCTGGGGCAGCAACGTGCCCTTGTGGGCTCTGGCAGTTGCCCGCTCCCATTGGCACGGTCTCTGTTGTCAGGCGGACAGGTGCTGCCTCTAAGGACTTGCCCAGGTCACCTGGAGGGGCACTGGTGAGGGCTTCTGACCATCCACTATTGGTTTGGCCTGCAAAGTGGGAATCTGCTCAGCTGCTCAGGTCAGGGAGGCCAGACTACTCTGAGTAATGACCCAAAGCAGTGAAGACATAGCACTGGGTTGATACTACCCTTCAGCCAGAAGATATGGACCTTGAGCAGCCTCAGTGGAGTCTCCCATCAGGAAGTCAGGCAGAAGCTACATCACGTGGGGAAGGCAGGGGCAGGCAGAGCAGTCCGTTTTGCCTCTTCCCCATGCACTCACACCTCCTTTCTAGGAAGTCTGGAATTCTTAGAGCCATCTTCCCCCGGATTCCACTTCCTGTCATTGCTGTCTAGGATCAAATCCATTTCTGCCACCTCCTCAAATCCTCCCTTGGCAGTGCTGTTCAAAAGCAATGGGCAGATGTCTTGATGTGCTTACCCGTGAAATATCCAGGTACTGCACTCGTCGGCCTTGGTGATGTAGTTCTCCGGCAGGAGTCCAGAGCAGCCCGTGGTTAAGGACGTGCCGTAGATCCAGCCCTCGCTGGTGCTGGTCTGCTCCATTGGGGACATGAAGATGAAGTCCCCCGGGACCAGCTCCAGCTCGTCGTCATTCTGTGGGGTGTAGGGGTAGATCACCTGTAATGTCTGAAAAAGGAAGAGAGGAGGAGTAAGCCCCGCATTTGGCTGTTCTTCTGAGTCCCCGAGAAGGGGGACTGTGTGCTCAGCATCAATGCTGCACATCACCAGAGGGCACCACGCACAGGAGCCCCTGAGGTCCATGGGCTCTGAGTAGACCTGGATTCTGATGGGAGAGCTCTTCTCAGTCTCAGGGGTTGTGGGTGTGCACCCAGTGCTATGAATGGTTCTGGACTTTCCTTCAGGCACCGTGTCATTTCCCACTGGGACTCAGATATAGTATTTGGAAATTCACTGGAAAGACTGTGGGCTCTCTGGACGACTACGATGCCAGTGGACTTAGACCAAGAATTAAACCTTTTCAGATTTTTAACTTTGTTTGGCCTCAGTTTTCTCATCTGTAATAAAACACCTAGACTATAAATTTTAAATGAGACAATCTGAGCAAATACCTTAGGACAAAGCTGCGTATACAGAAGGGGCATAATTATTTCCACTGCCCCATCATGGCACCTGATCCCTGTGTGATGTCCTTCTGTCCACTTGCCCCTGACCCCTGCACACTGTGCTGGGGAAGCCTGTGAGCTAATCAGCTCACTGGTGTCCAGTCGACAACAAATGCTGGGAAGAGGAAATTTCCTTCTGGAAATCAGCAGAAGTGTGATCCTTCTCAGAGGATGAAATTGCTAAGGCACAGGACTTGTCTGTACTGCTGGATTTCTGACTTCCCTTTCACAAAGTAGGGCACCTTTCCCTAGTTCCGACTCCAACACCTTTCAGTTCTAGATCTTTCTGCTCCCCAGTTGCCTCCTCACTCCTCCTGTCCCTCTGCCTCATACACACTCAAACCACCTTTCCAAACAAGCCAAGAAAGTTTTCTGATGGATCATTAAAACAGCTTAAAGGGGAAAAAAAAGTTCACATGAAATCTCATAAATCTCAAAGCTGGGTGTGTGATGTCCCATGAAAAGGAACATTATTTTTCCTGGAACAAGGTGGAGAAAGACACTGAATTGTAGGGAACAACCCTGAACCTGCTTTCTTCAGATACTCAAGCAGAGCATGGTGTTGGCCCATCATGCCTTTGGCCCAGTGGTGCTTTTCTCTTGAGAAACTCAACACAACTTCAGAGAACTCTTGAAGGGAGGGCGCTATTCCAGCTCAGAATATTCCCGGGGAAATCAAGACACAAAAGGTTGGAGACATAGACATTATGTCTTAGGCAGAGAGTAGTTGGAAAATAAGTGGCTTTAATTTTTTTTTTTTTTTTTTTGAGACAGAGTCTCCTTTTGTGCCCTGGGTAGAGTGCCATGGCATCATAGGACTCTTGGGCTCAAGTGATTCCCTTGCCTCCACCTCCTGAGTAGCTGGGACTACAGAGCCTGCCACAACACCTGGCTAGTTTTTCTGTTTTTAGTACAGACCAGGTCTCACTCTTACTCAGGATGGTCTCAAACTCCTGAGCTCAGTTGATCCACCTGCCTCGGCCTCCCAGAGTGCTAGGATTGTAGGCGTGAGCCACTGTACCTGGCCTAGTGGCTTTGATTTATTGAATGAATAATGAAAGGATTAAGGTACTGTAGCACACTTAAAATTATAACTGGGAACCATGTCCCCACTTCTCATTTCTTTCTAAAAGCAGACAAAAAAAGTTAGCCTAAGTTTGAGAGGTAGACCCATGCCTAGCTTACATGACATTATTATGCCCATTCTTCGGTTTTATATTTGGTATCTACTTTCAAGAATTCTTTTTGTGCCAACCTCAGGTGTGTGTTTTCTCCCTTCCTCTGCTGGTTGTGAACTTAAAGTTTAAGGCATAAGGGCAGTCTCAGCCCTGTACGAACTGCATTGCCTTTAAAGCCCTTTGTGTTCTTAGGAATAATGATAGCTGCAGCAATTTTTTTGTTGCATCAGCTTTGTGCTGGGTTAGAGCCTTTTCGTATATTCTCTTGTGTAGTCCTCACAACAGTCTATCACAACATTATCATATTTTACAGACAAGAAAACTAAAGACTACCTGGAGAATTACACAAGTTGTCAAAGTGAATCTAACTTCTCCTAAAATCATGGAGCCAGAATTTGAAGCTGAGTGTGCTAGAGTCCAGAATTCATGCTTTTCTTTATACCTCTGTCCCCTTCCCCCAGATTTCTTTTGCTTGGTGCATGCAACTGGTGTGACCCAATGTAATCACTAATATGGAAGAATCAAAGTGAAGTACAAGTAGGCATCTGTAAGTCCAGATCAAGTGAGAATCTGTTTTTTTTTTTTTTTTTTTTTTTTTTTGAGACAAGGCCTCACTTTGTCGCTCTCAGTAGAGTGCTGTGGTGTCACAGCAACCTCAAACTCTTAAGCTCAAGCAATTCTCAGCCTCCCCAAATAGCTGGGACTACAGGTACCTGCCACAATGCCCGGCTCATTTTTAGAGATTAGGTCTTGCTCTGGCTCAAGCTGGTCTCGAACCTGTGACCTCAGGCAGTCTACCTGCCTTGGCCTCCCAGAGTGCTAGGATTACAGGTGTGAGCCACCATGCCTGGCCTTCAAGCGAGACTCTAAATAGCAGAAGTTGAGACCTGGGAGTTTTCCCTCGAATCACTGTGCCTTGCTGAGTGTCCTTGCCTAAAACCGCTTTCCTTCTCTGGACGTCTGTTCCCTCATTGGAACAATCACTGAAAACTGCTTCCTGGGGACACAGTGAAGAAAGCAGGCAAGAAGAGGTTTATATATGCAGAGGGGCTCAGGTTAGGACCAAAAGACCTCAGGGGGAGAGGTCTAGGCCAAGGGGGCCAAGGGGGCCAAGGAGAGTTTTATCAGAAGGAGCAGTAATAAATGAGCTTTTGCAAATAAGAGATAAAAGAGGCCAAGTTATTTTTAGAAAATAATTCATGTGGGCGCTTGCTGCCTCTTTCCTTCCATGCCAATTGAGCAGAATGTGGGTCAGGCAGAAAAGCAATTACCCTTTGAGTTAACTGGAGGGCACTGTTGATTAGAGGATATTCCTTGTAAAATTCCATCGCCACCTTCCTTCTCTTAGAAAGGTGACTTCTCAGAGGCCATCTGTATGCAACCCCTGCCTTTCTTTTTTTCTCTGCCATCAGAAGGAGTTTAACCAGCCACACCTACTTAGTTATCTTTAGGGCTCATCCTAAGTGATTCCAGGAGATGTCAGAATTCTTAAGGAAGGCCCAGATGACTTAATGCATATTTAGAGAAACCTGCACCAAATGATGCAAAAGGAGGACAGGACAGTCCCATCAGCAGAGTTAGACGAAGCTGCACGCATGTCCTTGACACTCACAGGGTGCAGTGCTTAGTCCTGAACTTTGATTTACCGGTTACTGGCCCTTCTTCACATTTCGAAGATAATGGTGAGGTTGCCTGGTCTTAACCCCGAGGTTCTATTTTTCATGTCTAAAAAAAGCCTAAAAGAGATGCTAAGAAGCTATGTAAACTAACAAAACATCAGTTCTTTCTCTGTTTAAAAAAACAAATGTAAATAATTGCTTAATAAGTATAGTTAAATCTGAAGACAATTTTTTTAATCAAATTGTGTTTTTTTGTTTTTTATTTTTTTGTTAATTTATTTTGAGACTGAGTCTCACTTTGTCACCCTAGCTAGAGTGCCGTGGTGTTATAGCTCACAGTAACCTCAAACTCTTGTGCTTGAGCAGTCCTCTTTCATCAGCCTCCCAAGTAGCTGAAACTACAGGTATGTACCACCATGTCCAGCTAGTTTATCTATTTTTAGTAGAGACAGGGTCTCACCCTTGCTTGGGCTGATCTTGAACTCCTGAGCCCAAGCTATCTAACTGCCTCGGTCTCGCAGAGGGCTAAGATTATAGGCATGAGCCACTGCGCTAGCTCAAATTGTGCGGTCTTTTTTTAGATGCATCGCCCAACATTATTTATCAAAATACCTGGGCTCTGGGCAGCGCCTATGGCTCACTGAGTAGGGTGCCAGCCCCATATACTGGAGGTGGTGGGTTCAAACCCAGCCCTGGCCAAAAACTGCAAAAAAATCCCCCCCAAAACCCTGGGCTCTGGCTTTAGCTCTGGTATCAAATTGCTATTTAACTTTGGATGAGCCCCTTGATTTCTTTGTGTCTCAGCTTTTCCTTCAGAACAATGACAGCAGTACAGCACAGTGCTCATCTAGAAAGCAATGTTGATGCCCTCAAAAGAAAGATGGTAGGAAAGATGGCAGTCTTTCTTCCTGAAATGGGGTCCGTTTATTTCACAGCCTTCCCACTGCAAAACATACTGACTCTCAGAATGGTTGGCCAGAGCTGCCTTTTCAAGTGTGTCCATCCTCTTTCCCCTCTGCTGGACTCAAAGCTCCTTGAGGATAGCACCACATTTTAAAATTCTAGTATGTTCCATGATACCTTACCTGAGTATCTACTCAGGAAATATCTGTTGATTATGTCTTTGTAGGTTTTTTTCCTTTTTTCTCTTTGTATTTATATGTCCTTTACCCCAGTTAAGGTCAGGATGATGTCTTCTACCAATACCATGAATTCATATAATATTTAAAAATTTTCCAACATATTTTCTATCTGTTCTCCCATTTCATTCTTTATCATCCCAGTAAGGTTGGCAGGGCAGATAAAATCATGGCAATGTTACCTAAATGGGCCACTTGGGGCTCAGAGAAGGATGCATGCTGAAAGCTTCCCCATATGTTGGGCAGAGCCGGGACAAAATCCTGGGCCAACCAATTCAGTTCCTTGTTCCATTTGTCTGTCTTGGTACCCATTTCCCTACAGCAGCAAGCTGCTGATTGTAATCACATCCCCACACCTGGTAGCATCCGGAAGTGCAGTGAGATATATTACCTCGTGGTTAGCAAATCGGATATCCCGAGAAAATATGGTCGCCACCCAGTCACACCCTAGTTTGACATCAATGTTCTGGGCGAGTTTCTCTAGGGTGGGTAGGTGGCTAGCTTGGAAGTGGTAAGCCAGCGTCACATGCAGCTGCTTCTTATGAGGTTCCACATGTACTTCTATACAAAAAAAGAAGAAAAAGGTCAGTTATTGGAAGGTGGTAATCATAGCGATGGCGGAGACTTAACGAAGAACACGAAAAGGAGCCCTCATCAGTTCTGCTTCCCACACAGCAAAGAAGTAGTGGCTAGACAAACGCCATTTCTCTCCTTCCCTGCAGCAGAATAAAGTGGCAGGGGGAAGAGATTCTGAATCAGCCTACTATTCAAGAGACAAAGAGCCGCCACGCATGTAGAGGGCTCTTCATAGGAGCTCTAGGTCTGCCCAGAGCATTCCTTTTGGTTGATTCCTCCTCATCCCCTCCAGTTGAATAGCACCAGCCCCACCATTCAGATGAGGAAACTGCAATCTAAAAGGACAAAATAATTTACGTAGAAATACAAAGTGTATTTTGTAATTGTTTGACTCTCAAGATTATATACTGCCTTCATTTTGCAATCAAGTCTCTTAGCTTCTGGGTGAGTGTAATGGAGAAATGAAAGAGGAAAGATGGATATTTGCAAAGTTGAAAGCAGGGTTTCTCAACAGCATTTTGGGTTGAATTATTATTTGTTGGGGAGGGTGGGAGCTCTCGTGTGTATTACAGGGTGTTTTGTGGCATTCTTGGCCTCTACTTACTAGATATCTGCCAGCAGCACCCTTCAAGTTATGAAAATGATTTCACATGTTGCCAAATGTCCCCAGGAAGCAAAATCACCCTTGGTTGACAAGCAGTGGTTAAAGTATATAGACTATTATACTGCAATACCCTGGGAAACAAAACAAAACAAAAAAAAGCTGCCTCAGGGAATGACTTTTATTTCTCTTTTGTACTTAACAATGAGGAGGAATTGTCATCTGCCCAGACTAGAACAATGAGAAGATGCAACTAGAAGAAATCTTGAAAAACTAAGGGGCTTGGGCAAGTCATAAAGCAGTTAGTGGCCAAGATAGGACTAGAAGTTGGACCTTTTGGTTTTAAGTCCTTTTTCTGTTATATTCCATTACATTTCTTTGGTGTAAGCTCCATGAGATGTTTGTCTCTTGTTCACACTGTATCCATACCACCACCCCCCACCCCCCATTCCCAGCATATTATGTAGGTTTGCAGTATTTCTTTTCTTTCTTTTTTTCTATTTATTTATTTATTTATTCTTGACAGAATCTCACTCTGTTCCCCAGGGTAGTATGCCATAGCCTCAGCCTAGGTCATAGCAACCTCAAACACTTCAATCCAAGTGATCCTCCTACCTCAGCCTCCTGAGTACCTGGGACTACAAATGCCTGCTTCAATGTCTGGCTAATTTTTCTATTTTTTGGTGGAAATGGGGTCTTGCTCTTACTCAGGCTGGTTTTGAATTCCTGAGCTTACGAGATCCTCCCGCCTCAGCCTCCTAGAGTGCTGAGATTAAAGGTGTGAGCCACTGGGCCTGGTCTTGTTAAATGAGGGAAGACACGTGGATGAATCTCCTTAAATCACCTAGAATGGAGGGAGACACTAAATCTACTTGATGAAGGTATCTGAATGCGCCAACATCTAGAATACCAAGGCCTAAATCCTAGGCCCAGGGGCAAAAATGTGATCACCTGGCTTCCATACTAGGTAATAAATACAGAGCTGGACCAGCTACGCTGGGTAGGGTCACTAGTTCTCCAGATCACCACCAGGGGGCCACACAAGGGCAGAGAAAGAAAGCTAGCCAAGTCTTAGTGGCAGCAGAATTTTGGCCAGGGACTGGTCCTACCTCTTTTCCTCGTGGAAAACTGGGGCCTCAACTTGTGACTCAGTAAGCACTCTCAAAATCTGCAGCAGTCTGGGCTGAGACCCACTGTCCTCATTTGCGGGGGATTTGGGTTTTGTGGTTACAGCATTGCTTTTGGTTCTTGTGAGGATTTAGTGGTTCTGACAATAACTACTGTGGAATGAAAAAAGCCATTTCCTTGAGACTGAGAGATAAGAACAGGAAGTAATTTGCCTCTCCGTTGTGCTATTTCATTGAAATATTAAGCTCCTGTGGAATGTCTGGCCCCACCTGAGAGTAGGCCTGGGGTGGGGAGAGGAGCCTGGGGGAGGGTAAGGAGGCCCCTCCCCAGGGCAGAAGGTGTCTCAGAGGCCCAGGGTTCCTTCTGAGAGTGGAGAGCTCACTGTGTTCCTGCAGATGCTGAGCCCTGATCACGCTCTTCCTGGGTCTGAAGCCCTATTTGTGACTTTTCTGGCAAACAGGAATGATGAGGAAAGAGCCTGCATTAGGGATGAAAACAGCAGCAGGAACAATGGCAGGTGAGGTGTAGGTCAAGGTCCAGGAGGCTAAGGAGCAAATTGTATGGCTTTGCTCAGGTCTTCCCCCTGTCTGCCTGCCATAAAATGTGCAGTGGGCAAACCCTGGGTCTCCTCCAGCTTAACGTTCGGCACTCAGTGTGCAATTCACCCCTCAGTGCCCCATCAGGGCAGCCTCCCTACCGTCGGCTGCTCACAGCCTCACAGTCCTGCCTGTACTCCAGCGCCCGAGCCCTGGAAGGCCCTGCGCCTGGTGTTTCCTGATCAACACCTTCCCATGCAAGTCTCTCCTCTGTGAGGATCAATCCAGTGCACCTGGGATGTGTTCCCTCTTCCCACAGCTACTGCGTGGGGCCTGAACTGGCTTCCCAACTGCGCCTCTGGTCAGGAGAAACCATTTGTTGTTCTCTTTTCTGCCACATTTCTCAGGGATAAACACCAAATTGGTGCCCTATAAGTACCCACTGACTGTGATTTCTTTCTGTAGGGAGCCACAGCCCCCCCCCCCCATGCTGGGTCGTCTGTTTGTCCTTCTGTATAAGGGTCTCATTGAGTTGTTTGTCCCTGTGGTCAGATGGGACGGCTTTACAAACTTCTCTCTCTTGCCCCTTCCTTGTGCCTCCTGCCTCAAGCACCCCTTTAAGCTAATTCCTCTGATGGGCAATCTCAGTTGGCTTGAACTAAGAGCTCTGTGAAAAGGACATCTTGAAGGAGTTACATTTTGGGACAGGACTTTTGAGGCTTCAGGAAGTCGAAGGGCATTGGCTTAGTGAACTTTATGATAATTTAATGTGAAGCAGTTCCACTCGTCTCTCTCCTATGCTTCCCTTTTGAGAAAAGCTTGGGATCCTCACGGAGTGAACAGTGAGACCCAGATAAACACCGCATGGGTGGGACTTGTAGGGGAAGCCAGGAAGGCTTCCTAATTCTGGACTGGGAGGAAGAGGTGGAGCTGCTGCACAGGAACATGCTCCAGTTCTGAGTGGACAGTCCCTTGTGCCCTGCAGTTTGGATGCACAGGGAGCGAGCTAACAAAGGGGTTGCGCCTCAGATAGTCTCTCCAGAGGTGGGCAGAACTGTAGTTGAATATTTTTACCAGGGAGCTAAGAGGTGAGTGCTGCAGTGTCCTTTGTCACATGCACCCATTCCTGCAGCCCCTCCACCTCTTGTCACCATCCTGCTCTTCTACAAACATTTCCCATCCATTTCCTTCCCAACACTTTTTGACTCACATGGCTGGTATGGCAGCTGTGTTCACTCACCAGTTTTGGATGCAGCCTCTGCAGCAAAGTCAGCAGCAAACTTCTTGAGGACCTCGGCACTGTCTTCCTTCACGAAGAGGCCGATGAAGTTGGAAGAGGTATAGAGCTCCAGGGGCAATGGGGCTGAGAACTTGCATTTCCAGCGGCTGACAGTGGTCTGCAGGGCCTCCCCCAGGGCATCCACCTTGCTGTCTTCACACTGGCAGGGAAAAAGCACAGGCTTCACTCAGAGCCCAGGAGACATGGGGGTTTGCTGCTACTCCACACTGGCGCCCTCTCCCCAGAGACTGGAGGCTGATAACACAATTACTGAGCTATCACTCCTGTCTGTGGGGAGAGAGACCTGCAGACTCCCAATTATCCAGACACAGACTATTCAGCTGGTAAATTAAATTGGGGAATGCAAGCCCTCTTCTTCCCTCATTTCCTTGCTCTTAAGTAGCCCCCATGAACACAGCCAAAATGCAGTAGGACCCGCCTAGTAGAAAGCAAAATGGGTAGGCCTGGGGAGATGGTGGTCAAATGACAGAAAACTTCAGCTGGAAGGAATCAGTTCAAGAGGACTATTGTACAACATGATGACTATGGTTCACAACAATGCATTGCATGCTAGAGAATTATTGGAAGAGTAGGTTTTAAGTGTTCTCGCCTCAAATAAATGATAAGTATGTGAGGCAATGCAAATGTAACTAACCCAGCTAGATTTAGCCATTCCCCAAGGCATATGTCTATTAAACGATCAAGTTTATAGGGTAGCCATAAAGTTTGTGTGCAATTTAAATAGTTTAAGAAATTTTAAATGTTAAATATATTCAATTGCACCCGATTTTATGGCCACCCTGTATATATAATATTTGTTTCTCAATTGAAAAAAATGTTCTCCTTGCTCATAAAAAAAATATTGACAAAGGAAGAATGTGACAAGATAGAATCCAGCCTCCCAGGGTGAGTTGTTTGTTTTGTAGCGTTTTGCATCATCTGTGCCTTTTCCAGTCCTCTTGGAGGATCACAAGTTGATGGTGCCTCCACCCTCAGGATAGTTGGGAGGAATGAGTCTCATGGAGCTGTGACATCATCCTCCTACCTTCCTGAGAGCATTGGAAGAAAGAATGAGTGTCTCTAAAACCCTGAAGGCTTCAGAGAAAGATCCTAGGATGACTAAGAGGAAATGATAATCACTTTAATTTCCAGAGTGAATGGTAAAAGGGAAGGTGTTAGGAACATATTTTTACCCAAGGGGGTGAGGCAGGGATAACATATATCTAGAGAAACTAAAGCAAAATGCTTTTTAAAGAATTGTCTTAAAATGCTACCATTCTGCTTTGTCTTGGATGTATGTGGATAAATCAACTCTTCTCCATTAAAGCAGATGAAGTATATTTATATTTACTATATAGCGAGGAGGATTTCATTTGGTCATTAAGCTTTCTGACAGCTAGGATTACAGACTAGCTAACTATGGCAGGTAAAATGTATTTTTGCTTCCTCTAGAGTTAGTGAAGAAAAAAAAAATGGATTATGTCCACAACACTAAAATACCTTTCTCTGTCTTTAGACCACACTTCTAGTTCCCTGATCTTAGTCTCTGTTCTTTCCCTGTCATTAGAGGGGAAAGGGATGAGAATGGATAAGGATGAAGCCAGATCAGTGACTCTGTTCTGGCTGCCAAACCAGTGTGCCACTTGCTGAGGGGCCCACAGGAGCATTTGGTCATCATGATGCTACATCAGACCTGGGGTGCCCCTGGGCCTCAGCGGATATATAGAGGAAAGACTTGGGGTGAGACCCTGGCCATGGACCAGACTGATCCCCTGAAGGTGCACCCAGCTCTAGGAGCCCACGGCTCTTTCTGCATCTTCCCAACTGACTCTGCTTTTACTCCAGGTCCCAAGGGGCTGGAGGGGCCCTGAGAGCCAGGCTTCCCTGGGTAGGGGTGCAGCTCACCATGAAGAACTGGCAGAGGGTGATGTGGGGGAAGATGTTGTGCGCCTTGTTCTTCCCACAAATCTGCTTCGACTGCTGCCAAAAGTCAGAAAGCTTCTGTGCTAAGGGGCCGGTGGGGCGGAGGTAGAGGACATACTCCCGGGGCAGGGGGTCGTCCAGAAAGGGGTCACCGACGTGGGAGAACAACCTGTGAGAGAGGAGGGAGTCAAGGAGGCCTCGAGTGAGAACGATGGGAGGGAAGGAAGAGCTGAGAGAGGCAGACCCGCCCGCCGTGAGCTTCGCACCCAGTGCTGAGCGGGGAAAGGTTTCCATTCGTACTCTAGAAACCTACTCCTTGACGCTCACACTTATCACTAATTCTCAGACGCATCAACTTCTGTTCTCCTGCTGGTCACACAACCTCCTCATCCCACAACTTCCTAAAAAAAAAGAAAGTCCTAAAACTGCTCTCCAGGAAGCATTCTCAGATGAACTCCAAACCCTTTCCCAACCCAGCTTGTCCTTGCTTAAACATGAGTAGCTCCCAAGGTAACGAAAGCCCTCAGGAAGGTTGCCTTGTGGGATCTGCTCAGCCATATTGAAAAACCTAAGTAGAACTTTTTTCTAAATGGATTTGCCCAGCACCCATGCCTGTGAAGTGAATCTGGAGGGGGCAGATATTGTGAGAGGGGCTCTATCTTGGATTTACTTTGAATTTTTCTAAATAGCGCCAAGGAGAAGCACACCCTGGGTCCAGGGCAGAGGAGGTCACTGACTTGACAAATGGGCTTGTCACCCTATCTTTTGGCTCATCTCCCCCTGGAAGGGTCCATTAGAGGCAGACTGCACAGCCCCACTCATCCACATATGCTCAGAGGTAATTATATGCTATTTTCTCAATTTATTTATTTCATACCAACCAGTCACATGCTTTCTGAACACTTCTTCCTCCTGTGGACGCCAAGGCTTTTTGTCTGGAAGAAAAAAAAAACACATTTCTATTGTTAGTATTTTTAGCCTCCTCTCAGCTTTCCTCACTGCAGCACAGAGTTGAGGGTGAGGGAGGCAACATCAAAGCCCGTATTCCACTCACTCCTCTGTGGTGTGGGGGAGACACCTGTAGCAGGTTTTCCCCCGGGGTCATATCAAGGCATATGGAAGTTAGGACTTGTAATTAATTTCCATGCGATTAGCATCAGATTTGCATGCAGCCTGACAGCCTCAGCAGTCTATTTTCGGCAGTTTCCACATTAGTGTTTTATTTTTGGTTCTCTAAAAGGTTGTCGTATCTTGGTTTTTTCTCTTTCCTCTTCACCCACTCATTCTTACTGACCCAGATCCCAGACAGAGCACATTGTTGCTGCAGCCCCTTGGCAGAATTGGTTAGAAGTGGCGCTGATGGTTATTAGGATGTAGGACTGAATGCCTACAGGGACAGTTGGTTTGGTGCAATTCATTGCCTCCCTCCACCCACTTCCAACCAACACCAGTAGCCCCAGGCTGGATCCATCATCTCCAACTCCTTTATAGGCACCTTTGGGGACAAGTGGCACCAGGCAAAAGAGAATGACCAGAGCAGTAAAACTGCATTCCTACTTCTGGAGAAACAACTCAATGCCCTACCAGTAGCCAGTGGATATCCACAGGATGGTTCCAGCAGCAGCCCTCTCTGCAGAAGTGTACAGGGAGAGCTCTTCTGAAATTACAGCCAGGTCTCCAGGAGCCAGACAGCACCGGGTTGGTGTCCAGCTTTGCTAGTCGTCAAACCATCCATCCTTTCACTTTTTCATGCATTCACGCTTATATTTATTTAGTAAAAACTGAATCTAGACTATTTTGTCAGCACTGTGCTAGTTAGGCTCTAGGAATACAGGAATAGGAATAAAGACACATATGGTCCCTGCCCAGAAGGAGTTTTCTGTCAAGTAAGCATGAAAATATTAACTATACGGATAAGCATTTAATTACATCAGTGTTAGTCTGCAATGGAGGGAAAGCACAGGGAACCGTGAGAACACACATAGGCAGGGAGGTCTCACCTAACCTCAGGGTAAGGGAAGGCTGCACTGAGGATGGGACATTTCATGGGAGACCTAAAGGATGTGGACACATCTGCCTGGGGGTGGCTGTAGAGGTGAAAGACACCTAGTACACCTCTGTATGGAGGGGTGTGAAGATTAAATGAGCTAGTGAACGTAAGGAGCCATGGTTGGTGCCTGACACCTTGTAGGTGATCAACAAGTTATCATTCTTGTCCCTTTACTAAATTGATTCAGAGTCCTTGGGAGGCACAAGAAATGGGAGAGAATCCGAGTTAAGCTGACAATCTTTTTGAGCATTCTTTTCCCAATTGGCTGCTGAGACCATCTCCTCCTTCCCTGTCCTGCTCCTCTATGGAGTAATTAGAACGATCAATGCTATAAGGACCTCAGGGTCAGCCTGGAAGGGACCTAGAAATCCTCTGTGTGCTCAACTTCTTCATTTTGCCCAAGAGAAAACTCAATGTGGAAAGAAGCAAAGAAACATGCTTAAAGCATCCTGGCTAAGGTGATGGCTGAGCCCAGGGCAGAAGCCAGGTACCAATCCAAGGCCACGCTCTATCCTCTGCTCTGCAGCAGAAAGCTAAGTTAAAGACCCTCTTTTTCCTCCATGAAAACATGAGCATGGATGTCAAATGATCAGGATAAAAAATGTGCACAGCTAACAAGAACAGCATTGTAAGAGACATCATCTTCTTCATTGGAAGATGAAGTTGTGGGAAAGCAAGACAGACCTCTTTGATTCCCTTGGAACAGGAGCTGGTACAGAACAGTCTAGAAGTACAAGTTCCTGTGCCCTGACAAGAAGCTTAGCTGCTACCACTGAACTTGCTCATAGTTTCCCAGACAATCGGAGGTCCCCTCCTCTTGCTTTCTTCCATACAGAAGTCCTGTACCCACAAAAGAACTTGCAAGTCATGATGTTTCAGAGGTTAGAATCTCTGAGGGAGTAAATTCACTAAAGGAACCCATTGTTTCAAAAACAATGGGGAAAAGGAAAACTCGTTTATGGTACCAGACAATGTGCTATTTATATAAAGGATCCGATTTCTCTCTCTCTTTTTTTCTATCCCCTTCCTTCAGTGAAAAATATCCTACTGAAATTTAATTTATTTCTTCTAAAGCACTAGGAGTATCCTCTGGAAATGAAAGATGTAATTAAGTTATGGTCTCATAATGCAAAAGACAAATTTTGGAAAGGGTTCAAAGAAAAAGAAATGAAAAAAGATAATTAAAGGTTTGGGTGATAAGACAATGACACAGGTTAAGGAGATTCAACTTCTTCATTTTGGTGAAGACTAGTTGAAGAGGTCCTCAATTCCGTGGAAGATTATTGAACCTGAAACACCTCAGCCAAAAGAAAACACATTTTGGCTATGGCATAAAGGGCTCAAGTTAGCTACCAGGAAAAACTATCTTCCAATATTGTACTTCAAAGTTTTGGGGTTTTTTTTGAAAGTTTCTAGGAACTGGTTAGTTATCTGAAGTAGGGGTATGCAATTTCCTTGGCAGGAGGCAGCAGGAGTCCAGTCACATTTCCCTCAGGGTCATGAGTCAGGGGGAGACCCTACTGTCCTTTCGCCCACTGCCAGGTTGGCACTGATTTAGGTTGAGTTTGTTTCCAGAACTTTGCCCACAGAATAGACTGAACATGGGTGCAGTAGAACAAGTCTCCCGCTCTCCACCCTGCTGAAGAAAGCCTGTTGCCATAGAGCACCACCTCCATGGTCCATCCAGTGGTGCCAGAGCCAAGGGCAAGTGGGAGTGTGTGGGGTGGGCCCTGAACCCCAAACTGAGGCTGAACATTTGCCACCCTCATAGCGACTCAGACCCTGAGCAGATAAAAGAGGAATATCCCTTTAAGCTGAAATGCCAGTGGCTCAACCATTGAATTATAGCAACAAATAATAGCAATTAATGATTTAAATGGAAGCTTCTTGGTTAGAATCAGTGGAACGTTTGAATTGTTGAAGTTCCATCATGTGTGAACATAAATTTGACTTCTGATCCTGGTCTCATCCTTCCCAGTTATGTCTATGGTTCATTTGCAGCAGAAGATGATAAAAAAAAAAAAAAAGTGGCAAACTCTCATGCCTACTAAAGATGGGGAAGAACAGCACCAATAAGATACACACAATGGCTAATCAAAAAATCAGGCCACAGCTGTGAGGAAATTAGCCAAAAGGGGAGGAAGAAGCAGAGCCCACAGATGGCCTCATTCCACACTGCTGTCTGGGGTTCCTCCCACGTGCAGAAATCTCCACTGATTTCTGGATTCCAGTCTGGTCTGGCCCCAGGGTCACAGAGATACCCTCATTTTCTTTGAAGGAGATTTGGAAAGGAAAAGTCCCTTTCCTGGTAGTTTGCCTGAGACAAAGCAGCATTTCTCTTTTCTTCCTTCCCCTCTTCCCTTCCTTCCCCTGTGTCCTATCCTCCTTCCCTCCCTCCCTCCCTCCCTTCTTCCCTTTCATTCTATTTTTTCTTCTCCTTCTATAAAACACTTACCAGGGCCGGGCGCAGTGGCTCACACCTGTAATCCCAGAACTCTGGGAGTCCAAAGCAGGTGGATTGCTTGAGCTCATGGGTTCGAGACCAGCCTGAGCAAGACCCCCATTTCTAAAGATACAGGTGTTGTGTTGGGCACCTATAATCCCAGCTACTTGGGAGGCTGACGCAAGAGGATCACTTGAGTCCAAGAGTTTGAGGTTGCTGTGAGCTATAACCCCATGGCACTCAACCCCATGGCACTCTAACTCAAGGCAACTAAGTGAGACTCTCTTTAAAAAAAAAAAAAAAAAAAAAACCAAATGAAAACCAAAAACAAAACCAAGAGTTTATGGAGTGTAGCTTTTTATTGGCACCTCTGGTTGCCTTTGCTGACTGAGGCCTGACTGAGCAGGTGCAGGGCTGTACCATTTCCAGGTCCAGTAGAGATTCTCATTCCCGCTTAGAACCACAGAGTTGAATTTGACTGGCATCCAGATTGATTTCCTCTGTGGCTACCCTGGCTCTCTAGGGTTTGACTGTGTCTCTGATCCACCTGTTACTTCATTTTCTCCCAGTTGGACACCACCTAGGCCCTGTATTATCACTGAGGAGGAAAGCATCATCCTTGCCCGTAGGGAGTTCATAGCCTTCAAGAAAGAAACAAAGTCACAAGCAGCTTCTTAGAATGCAGGTGCTAAGGGCCATGGTGGAGATGTGCACTGTGCCAAGGGAGTTAGAATAGAGGGTCTCACTCAGTAGGGGAGAATTTTCTAAGCCTGATGTTCTTAAATTGTACGCCAAGCTACTCCAGGTCAGTAAACCACAGCAAGCTAAAGAGGTGCCATAGGATATTTTAAATTTTAATAGAGAAACATAGCAATACTTATCATCTGCTGGATGCCACATAAGCTTCTAGCTCAAGGTAGTTATAGTCACAGTTATTAGATTGTGATGCACTTCTCTTAATGTTACATCTGTACGAAGCTGGAGTTTTGGCAACTGTTGTAGTAAAAACCAAATACCCAACAAAAATCAATGTGGAACAGAAAATGAGAGCCAGGTGTCCAGTGTGACTCTAAGGTTTGAGCAGATGGGCAGTGCCCAGGAGACACACACATGCTATGAGTAAGCAGCTGTGGTTATGAAAGAGTGAAACAAAAAAATTATTTTTCTTTAAATTTATGTGTATTTTTTTTTTCACATGGCTCCTAAGTTGTTAGGACATAAATACTTATTTAAGTGTTTGGATCTAACTATGAAATAAACAGAACTGTTAGGTATTTGTGTTGGCCAACAGGTTCTATATAGTAAAATTATTGAGAGGTGCTGTATTATGTAAATATTATCTAAAAATTATCTAAAGATGCTGTGAACTAAGAAAGTTTAGGGGCTCAAGCGGCTAAGG